TCTGTCTGAGCTGGGACTGGCCCAGCGGGTGGGCACAAACCCATCTCTCCAGCTTCGCCCGGACCCTGAGCTCACCTCTTGCCGCCCTCGTTCTGCGGGGAGATCCTGGCAGGGCAGGTCCAGCACCGGGCACGCGGCCCCGGGGAAGGAGTACACCGGCGTCTGGATGTGGGAGTTGAGCTGCTGCGGGTGATGGCGTGTGTAGTCCTGCGTGATGACCTCCTGGAAGAAAACCCCGAGGCACAAATAGGGTTGGGGTCCACCTCTTGCTTTGCTGGGCTCAAGGAACACAGGGCAAGCAGGAGGGAATTAGGCAGGTCCAGCACCGGGCACGCGGCCCCGGGGAAGGAGTACACCGGCGTCTGGATGTGGGAGTTGAGCTGCTGCGGGTGATGGCGTGTGTAGTCCTGCGTGATGACCTCCTGGAAGAAAACCCCGAGGCACAAATAGGGTTGGGGTCCACCTCTTGCTTTGCTGGGCTCAAGGAACACAGGGCAAGCAGGAGGGAATTAGAGTGGTTTGTCCCCATGGGAATGTTAATTCCTGCCTCCTGCAGCTCTTGGGATGAACTTGTTGAGGATGCAAATACCCGGGCTGAACAGCCTCATGCACCCCTGCTCTCTCCAGCCCCCTGGGAGACCCCAGCACCCCTCCCAGCCCTTCCCCAATGACACATTTCATCTCAGCTCTTCCCTCCTCCCCAGGGCCCCAGCGGAAAGGTGGGAATGAGATTAATTACGCTGATGTGCTGGGCCAGCGTGACCACTCTCTGGTTCATGCCCTTGATGCTGGGGCTGGACTGCAGGGGCTGGCACTGGGGCTGGGGGCCGTCGGGCTGCCGGAGGTGCTGCAGGTGGGCGGCTTCAGGAGCTGAGGCCTTCAGCGAGCCTGGGGGAGGACACAAAGGAGAGAGCAGGCATGAGACGATGGCCATGAGCCTCTTCCTTGAGTGAGAGCTGGGTGATGGAGCCCTTCGACCTCCCCATCAGCTGGCACTGACCCCCCCCTTACCCTCACCTTGCTGCTTCTGCCTCAGGTCGTGCTCCCCGTGCCCCTTCTCCGCATCCTGCAGCAGCTTGGCTCCTTTCTCGTGGGGCAGGCTGGGCGAGCTCACAGGACTCACTGCTTCCATCCGCTCAGGACTGTAGCCTCCGTGAAAGCCTGGGGAAATGGGAGAAGGGAGTCACAACCCAGAGCTCGCTTGGCTTTTCCCTAGTGCTGTGCCAACCAGTGCTTGCGGGTGAAGTCAGATGTCCAGCAGAGAGGGGGGAAAAAGAGACGAGGGAAACCTGGAAGGTCACATTCCAGGGGCCCCCGGAGCCTCCCCCGAAGGCTGGCTGTGGGGACGGCCGCAGGGTGAGACCACGTCACATTCCTGCGGAGCTGGACACTCAGAGGCTCGCGGTGATGGCACGAGCGTCAGGAACCAAACCCAACACCTGCGGGTTCACAACCTGCCCCCCCGTTTCCCCCACCCACTGAAAGAGAAAGCAAACCCCCCACTATGCCGGGGGGAAGCAGAGAAAAGCCCCAGGGCAGCAGAGCCAACAGCAGGGACTGGAAAACTGCGAGCAAGGCCCTGCAGACTCCGGATCCTGCTCCGGACACAGCAGACTCACACACTGCAAAACGGCTTTTCTTGACCTTTCTCTGCCTTTTAAGCCCCTTGCAAGGGCTCGAGCTGCATCCAAGCAGGCAGAGCTGGAATGAGGGACATCAGAGAGGGAAACTGAGGCACCGGCGGGTGATGCTTCCAGAGGCGAGGGGCAGAGGACACAGGAGTTCTGGAGGCACACGCTGCCTCTTGCCAACTGAGCACGTTTGGCAGCGATCGCGACTTTTGCCTCCACTGATCTTTACCCTCCTCACGCTCAACTCCTAGAAACTGCCCACCAGAGGCAAATCTGGCAGCCAACCCACCACGCTGCCGGAGCCTCCGGCATGGACACACCGACCTTGCATGTTCCTGGGGCACAGGGAGGAGAGGACCCCCATGGAGAACCTCCCAGGGATGGGGATAGAGCATCCTGCCTCACCCCACGCACCGCCCGCATCCCAGTGCGGAAGGGACCACACTTTGGATCCACCCAATGAAGGGTCCTACCCTGGAAAGATCCCTGACCAACAGGCAAGTCCCAGGGAACACCAGCTCCCTTCTGCAAACTCATGGCCATGGAAAAGCTGCCCCTCTCCTCCGCGGCAGGAGAAGCTCAGCCAAGCACGTCCTTGGCCCTGGAAGGTGCTGCTAGAAGGGGCCGGGAACAGCCGTGACAAAGTGGTGGGATGGGTGGGCTGGGATGCGCCAGTGAGAGCTTTTTTTTCGCTGCTGGGTCCTTTCCACCCTTGGCTCACAGGAAGGGGAGCTGGGTAGCAACCCTGCAGCGCTGACGCTTCAACGTGAAGAGGGGGGACCATCAGATCCCTACGGCTGCCTGGTGAACGCTCCGGGTTAAAGCTGATCCTGCCAAGAACGACCCAGACCTTGAATCCAGCCCCTTCCCTGTAATCTCTTCTGGAGAAACTTATCCTGGTGCTTCTGTGTCCTACACAAGATTCCCGTGGGGTGGTTCCTGCGGGCTGCTCTGGAAATGCTTCCGAGTGCAGCTGGGCTGGGCAATCCCTCGGCAGCCGTGTCCCCGCTGGCCTCTTGTGCAGCATCGGGACCCCAAGCGATGGGAGCCTGCACCCCCAAAACCCCTGCCCTCCATCCCGCTCCCGCTCACACCCCCAGTTCTCTGCTTCGCCCGCTGCATCGATGACCCACGACTGCTCCTTACAGGCTGCCTTGGCATTGGTGACGATGGGGACATGGGAATTAGCAAATTGCCACTGTCCGTGAAAAGCAACCAGGAACCGAACGACGTTCGCTAAACGGCACTTGGCAATGCGAGAAACTAACAGGGTGGGAGAGGGGAAGATCCTTAAAACACACAAATAACAAAGTCTGGAATAACACAACAACCAGGAAGCAGAGGGACAAGCAGCTCGGGGAGCTGGCAAAGCCACCAGTCAAAACGTGCAACTCAAAATAAGAAATAATGAAATAAAATGGGTTTCAGGCACCAGCTCTCTCACCTCTCCCCCCCCGATTTCTTACCATCACTCGCGGAGTCGTTACTTAGCGAGTCTCTTTCCCGCTGCCCCTGATCGCGAGACATTTGGCGCATGATAATCACATCTATGAAGTTGGCCGCTGTCGTGGTGGTCTTACCGAGTGCTCGGAGCTCCTGCTCCTGCATGGAAAAGGCTTTACTCTGACTCTTTTCTCTGCTGTGCTGCTCGGGGCCCGAGGCCGCGTGCTGCTGGTCCAGGGGGTGATGGTGCTGTTGGCTTTTCCCCTGTCCTCTGCTATAGTGATGAGCAGAACCGGGTCCGGAGGCGGGTAAAGGCCTCGACTCCATGGCTTTAATGGGCGAAGGCGACTGGTCGAGGTTGGCCCCGCCGGGCAGCTTTGAGGTGAAGACGTTGTTGTCGGTCTGGGGTCGCTCCGCCTTGGCTTCCCGCGCCCTCGAGGCCTCTTTCTGCAGGACGGCCGGGTCCATGAGGGCTGCGTAGCTGTCCGCCGCGCTGACGGAGGAGCGCAGGGCGGAGGCCGAAGGGAAGGCGGCGGAGCGGATTGGCGACGTGGTGGTGGTGGTAGAGGATCTGGAAGGGAAATGGAGACAAGGCGGAGATGAGAAGCACATGGAGAAAGGGGAGTGCTGTTACCAGAGCTGCAGCCTTCAGCCCTGTCTGGCCGAGGGCTTCCCAGGGCTCCCGAGTGTCGTCCCGTGCTGGAGCAGGTGAGGAGGGCTCGGATGGAGCCTCCACCACAGTAACTGGCCATGGAATGTTGGATACGGCCCAGATGCATCAACTGGAGAGCATAAAACACACGGACAGGTCCCAGAGACCTTCCTAACTCCATCCCCAGGCAACTGGCAGAAAGAGGAGCATACTAGGGTGAAGGGATGCTCCTGCTTTCCTTCCTAAGAGCAGGAAAAGCCAGGAACTGGGGACCAAAATCTGCCTCTCCCCATCACAGCTTCCCTGTAAGCCCCCGTCCTGCTCCTGCTGAGACTGAAGGCCAAAACAACCCCCGATCCATCTCAGAGGCGCCCCACGCTCGTTAATGAAGCCCCACAGCTGCCCCGGCAAGCAGCAGGGACTGTGCCGGGGGGGCCGTACCGCAGGACGGAAGGGGTGGGGGTCTCCGAGGAGATGATCTTCATGCTCGTGTTGTGGAGCACGCTGGGGCGCTGCTGGATGGTCTCGTGGGTGCGGGGCGAGACGGGAGAGTGCTGGTGGCTGTGGGAGTGCGAGGACGAACGGCTGCTGGCCTGCTCCGTACCTGGGGGGATACAACGAGGGGCTTACTCAGCTCGTCAGTTTACAGCCTCCACCCTGCCCCACCCAGCAGGGGCCCCAAATGTGGTGCCGGGCTCCTCCCCAGCCTACCTGGTCTCCAGATGGGCGCATGCTCCACTGTGGTGGATGCTAGGATGGATTTCTCACGCTCCCTCTCCCGTTCCCGCTCCCGTTCTCGCTCAGACACCGACGATCCTGATTGTTTGGTCATGTGCGTGGGGCCTCCTGAAATGCACCCAAAAGGCAGTGAAAGGGCTGCAAGACACAGTGATTCCCCCTGGGAACAGCACCTGCTCCGCACTGCCATGTCTGCAGAGCAGATAAGGAATGCTCGATCCAAGGTCACCACCCAAGACAACCTGGAGCAGGACAGACAGGGAGAACCAGTGTGACACCACCTAGGCCAATCACACAGCAGCTGTCCTGGCACCGTCTTCCAGAGCATGACCGTCCACAAAGCTGTTTGCCAGGTTCTTGGGAATACGAGGGGAACAAGGAAGCCCCCGATGAGCAGGATCGGAGACGGTTTGAGGGAGCCAGTGGGCTGGTCCCTGAGTGGGAATGAATTGGGGCTCCCCCCCTCTGCCCCAGCATGCTGAGCTCAGGGACCTGACCCAGCTGAAGGCCTCCTGCCCAACTGCTTTTCCATGGGAAAAGCAACCTGGACCATTACCTGGAGAGAGCGGGGAGCTGCTGTGCCGGCTGCCGAAGGTCTGTGGGGGGCCGGGGATGTAGGTGATGCGGTCCATGGTGGTGGCAGAGGTGCCAGGGGTAGGGGGCACGAGGACGGGCAGGTGTGGCACTTGGGACAGGTCGATGATGCCTGGAGAGAGAAGCAAGAGGACTGTGAGGATGACGCTGAGCTGCTGCAGCTTGGCCAGGCTGGAGCAGGGAGCGATTCTGGGAAAGACCACACTGTGCCTCTGCTCTGGCACAGTGCAACAGGTGCCAGCACACACACACGGCCCCCGGGCACTGCTTGTCAGGGAGGGGACCCTTCCTTGGGCAACTACAGCGTGTCCTGCTGCTGGGAATAACGGGGAGGAAAAATGGAATGCTACCCCTGCTCAGGGAGGGGGCTGTAGGAGCACTCCGCAGCATGCCCTGCTTTTTGCAGGAAGTCAGATATCCTTCTGGGAGTGTGACTTAACCTTCAAAGGCCCGAAGAGCTGCACATAAGGAGCCTCAAGTAACTAAAGGTGGCAAAAAGAGCATCAAATTCCACCCCAGCCGAGCTCCTACACCGCTGCATGGCACCATGCTGCTGGCCCGGCGCTGGAGCTGGCAGCACCGGCCTGACCCAGCCTCCCTCGCCCAAAACACCCCCAAAACCCCTGGATGGAGCCATGCCCGGAGGACCTGCTGCATAGTTGAGGGCGAGGGAGGGCTCCCGGGGCGACAAGCCGCGCAGCATGTCGGCCCGCTGCGCCATGGCCGTGGCTGCGGCGTTGTGGTGCATCTGCTGCGACGTGATGTAGTCGTTGATGATGGTCTGCCGGTTCTCCATGGCGGCTGTGTCTGGGTAGCCCCGGATGAGGTACGGCGGGTAGAGGTGAGGGTACGTGGGGCTCGGAGCCAGATGCCTCGGCAGGTAGTAAGCGGCAGCTGGGAGTGCGGCAGCTGGGAGGGAAAGGGATGCAGACATGAAGCGGTTTTTCTCCCCGGAGACCTTTTAGAGCGTAACAAGGGGAAAACCCAACCCCAAACAGACCTGCTTCCAGTTGGATTCCCCTGGGGATGGCAGCGGGGTCGAAAGCCAGCGGGATGTGTCCTCGGTACAAGTCGACCCCGCTCACACCACGGAGCAGGTGCTCGTACGGGGAGATGGGGTGGTGGTGGTCGGCCACAGGAGCATGTGGAGACTTGGAGTTGGTGAGCTCTCTCGATGTGGGGGTGATCTTTCTGTCCTGGGACCGGCAGTGATGCTCCCTGCAGCGGGCAGAAGGAAATGAGTCAGAGATCGAGGGCTGCAGCCAAGCTGTGTCCCCAGGGGATGCTCGCAGCTACGCTGAACTTGAGGGACCCTTCCCTCCTCCCTGCACTATTGTGCCCCAAGGCTGAGGCGGGTCAAGCCCAGGAGGAAAAGCCCAAATCATCCCTCCATTGCAAAGCATCGATGCCGGGCAGTCTGTGAGCTCATCCTGGCCTGCACAGTGGAGCCTGGCTGCCACGCTCCTCAGCATGAGGTCACCACCACCCGGGACAGCCGAGGACCCCAAAACACCCGATGATGGTGACAGAACACAGGTCAGAGTGCTGGAGCACCAGTCACCCTCTGGAGCCCTAAATTCTTTCCCAGCGCACGCAGGGCAGGCTGGATCGTGTCAGGGACTTCTCAGATAAACTGGAAGAGGGAGATTGAGATGGGACATCAGGAAGAAATCCTTCCTGGAGAGGATGGGAAGGCACTGGGACAGGTTGCCCAGAGAAGCTGTGGATGCCCCATCCCTGGGAGTGCCCAAGGCCAGGCTGGATGAGGCTTGGAGCAACCTGGTCTAGTGGAGGGTGTCCCTGCCCATGGCAGGGGGTGGGGCTGGGTGGGCTTTAACGTCCCTTTCCACCCAAACCAGTCTGTGATTCTGTGACAGGGTCCCAGAGACTGGCTCCAGCACTGAATCTGCCCCCAGACATGCCATGAAGCAGGAGGGTTTGTGCTCTGGATTCAGCATCTCTCACCAGACCGAGCCCAGCCCAGCCCTGGATGGAGCATCACCAGACACACGCCTGCTCCCCAGCAGCCCAAGGTCTGGCTCCGAGGCAGATGATGTATGCTGGGGGGCACGGGCAGACGACAGATCCCAAAGTCCAGCTGCGCTGCCCGGATCCACCGGCTCAGATAGGATTAGGTACTCCTAGAGGTGAGGCACTCTGATGCCCAGGTGACAGATGAGGCATAAACACACGCTGTGGTTGGTGATAAATGTGGAGATCCCCCCTGGTGCCTACAGAAACCAGGGTGCCCTGGGCCAGCGCTGGGAGAGGAAGATGCTTTCAACACACCACCAGCTTCACCTGCCACGGTCTAGTCTCCCTTCGGCCACCCTGGTGCAGGCGAGGGGTGCCCTCGCTGGAACGTGTCAGCATGCCAAGGAAGGGAGAGCCCCAGCCCTCCCCGCAGCTGCCCTGGCGCTGTGAGTCACCCGTGGCTGCGGGCAAGAGTGGGTGCAGAGTGCTGGGGAGAACGGGTTGGACGGGCACCAGCCGGGAGCAGCTCGGGCAGGTGGGATCAGCAGCCACTTCCTGAAAGCTTAGTGTCAAATAAAAGGTTTGCCATGTACCTTCGTGCTGCCGTGGCGTGGACTCCCGTGTAGAGACCGGAGATCCTCGGTGCAGGTGGCTGCCGAAAGCTGTGCCGTGCCCTGCCTGGTGGTCCTCGTAGGCGAGGGCACTTTGGTGGGGCTTGCCCGGCTCGGGTACGATCACAGGAGCCCCTCTGGCAATGGAGCCACCTGAGTTGGTCACTGGGCTTGGCCTGTTTTTCAGGCTCTCCTCGTAAGCTCTCTCCAGATTCCTTGGGTCTTGGATGACGTCCAGCGAGTGCACAGAGTGAAAAGTCCTGCTGGGACTGCCGATGATGGACCGCACGTCGTGCTTTTTGGTACTCGAGGAGGAAGAGCCACTGTCATACTTCAGTGGGGTGCCCTGGGGACAGAAGGCAGAGGGGACATCAGAGGGATGGAGAGCAGAAGGGGATGCAGCGACGGCAGCACATGGAATCTCAACAGCACCCGTGCTTCCCCGTTTGGTGGGCCAGTACACCAGGACAAATGGCAACAGCCGTCAGCAAAGCAGAGATAACAGCTTCCCTGGGGATGACTGAACACCTCCCTGCCCACAGGAAGCAGGACTGAATTCCTTGGTTTGCTTTGCTGTGTGCGCAGCTTTTGCTTTACCTATTACACCCACGAGCTTTCTCACGTTTACTCTCCCGACTCTCCCCATCCCGCCGGGGGGAGTGAGCGGGCGGCTGCGTGGTGCTCAGCTGCCAGCTGGGGTTAAACCACAGCACTCCGCGGGGCGTGGGGCAGGGTGGAGTGCCCATCTCACACGTCTTCTGCTCCAACAAGACGATGGTGAGTCAGCGCCGAAGGCTGGCTATGCCCATCACGCCTCTCCTACACAGACTGTGAAATGAGGTGGGACTACGAGGTGCCATGGGAACCCTCCAAATATTTGGAGTCCAACAAGAGACAGCATGCCCCATTTCTCCCTAACTACTGGCCTTGCTGGGTTGACGCTTGCCCATAAAGGGAGGAGACCAAGATTACGCACACACGGCCGCAACTCCGAAGGCACCGAGTTGACTCCAGCCTTGAGTAAAAGCCAGATCCCCTTCCATGACCAGGTGTGGATGAGCATCACCTTCTTAACGTGCCAGAGGGTGCTGAGCTCCCTTCCCTGGGCTTTGTATTTGTCCACTGGGGTGGATCATATGGTTTGGGTTGGGAGGGACTTCTAAAGATCAAAGGATGGGCAAGGGCAGGCTGTACCCAAGCAGAACCCCAGTTCCAGCAGCGATGTGTTCACAATCTAATGCCCTGTTTCCTCTCCTCCTGCCTGGGGAAGGGTCCCCAGGCTCCGTGGGGGAGGCTCTGTGCAAGGGCTGAGGAGGACCAACCTCACCCCCTGTTCACCCCACTCACCTGCGTGATGGAACCTTCCTTCAAAGGTCTCGTCAGAGAGATGTCTGGCGTCCGCCTCAGCTCCTCCCGGGGAATCTCATGGATTGATCTTCCCGCTTCCTTCACCGTGGCCACTAGGCCTTCATGGGCTGGTTTCATTTTCAGGGGAGTAAGGCCCTCATGAGACCTGACCTTGTAGGCATCGGATAAGTCCCTTGGTGGAGTGTTTTCCCTCTTGAGCTGTTTGGCTTCTCTCCTGAGGTAGTCCTCATGGGCCTCCACATAGGACCGAGGTATTCCTGCGACCCCCAAGCAGACAGAGCCGAGGGTGATTCCCCAGCCAGGCACTGGCTCCCAGTCCCTGTGGGGATGCTCGCTCCAAGGGGGTGTCTAGTTAACACACATACCTCGAGGACCAGTACCCAGCTGAGCACATAGAGCAGCTACATCACTAACGCAGTGGGACCCCCTCACACCTACCCCCGCTTTCTGGACCCCATTTACACCAGTTTCAACCTGCCTTCCTGCGAATTCTACCCCTGACTTTGGCAAGAGCTTAGGTTGGCAGAAGCTGAGCAAGACTGAAAATCTCGCTGCAGAGATCTGCAGCTGGACTCTGGTGCCTCCCGTGTTTCCTCCTGCCCTAGCCTGGCACAAACAAGGGGCCACGCGTGTGGGAGACCTCCCCATGTGACCTCTGGCTGTGGCTGTCCCGCTGGCAGGCTTTACCTTGTGTAATTGAGCCCCGCATGTGATGCTGCTCCTTCAGGTTATGGGGACTGTGTCGGTCCGGAGGGATTGCTCGACCCATGAGACCTAGAACAGATCCAAGGGGGAAAGATGGGCTGAGACACAGGAGTTCATTTACAGTGAACACACAACAGTGTTACCAGGGGCTCCTGGGACAAGGAAAAACATCAACAATGTCCAAGTTCCTTGATTTCCCTTTTTTGAAACCGTGATTCCTTACTCTGTAACCCTGAAACTGGTTTATCAGGACAGAAACCAAAGGCAAATGGGCCAGCGTGTCCGTGCCGGTCAGACGCTGGCCTGTTGGGATGTGCTGCAGGGTACATGGCCCAAACACAGGCACGGGAAGGTGTGTCACGTAGACAAGAGACAACACAGGGTCTCTGTGGGTGTTTAAGGACAGAGCACGGGCCAAAGGTTTCACCCAGACCCACCTTCGATGCTGGCGGATAAGGTGTCCCGGGCTGATAAGCCCCGGCTGATCCTCCCCTCCATCATATCGTAGGTCCGCTTGGTTCCCGTGGTCTCGTGCGAAGCTCCCGAGCTCCGGCTGTCGTCTTTGGGACACTGAGAAGCAGCAACTCCACCTGGGGAAGGGAACATGGAGCAGTGTTGTGAGGAGCACAACGCTTGAGGGACAGCCGACACCAGCCAAGGGACAGTGCCTGCGTGCGCTGCGGAAAGGTCAGATCCCGTCCCAGCATCAGCCGCCACTCCACAGCGCCAGGAACATTGCCCGAGGTTGGCTTCCAAGAAATTCAGCGGGTGTTTTCTCCCCTCCCTGCCTGCCTCAGACTCCAGATCTCCTCCCGCACGGGTAGGAGCATCCGCCCTGTCGTGTCCCGCTCCCTCCCTCCCCGGAGCCGGCACGGCGCTGGCGTGAGCAGCTGCGCTTCCACTGAGGCTGGATTTTTATTTTTTTCCCCGTTTGTTTTGATTTTCGCTAGACACCTACTGTTCAGGATCTTGGCCAGCCTAACATTTGCCGAGACACTCCCTGGGTGAGAAAAATCAGGGAAAAGGAGGGGGGAGAGGCAAAGCTGAAAACAATTCCTCGGGAACAGCGACGAGTGCGCGTAAGGATTAGGCGGGATGGCGAGAAGTCCCATGCAGGACTGATGGAACAAGCACCGACCAGCTCCTCATCCAAACCCAGAGCAGATTCTTCCGTGAACCGAAGAATCACGGAAGCCCATCACGGGCGAGCTGTGAATTTAGCCCTGGTCCTCCTGTTCGTGGGCAGAGGAGGCGGTTGTACAATTAGGGAAAACGGAGGAGACAAAAACATTCATTCCATCGCGGACAATCAGGAACAGAAGTCCCCCTCGGCAAAACCAGCAATTAATAAAATGGGATTATTACAACTTCACGCCCACTGTCGGTTCCCGCAATCTGCACCCACTCAATCCAAGCGTTTGGGGCTGCGTGAAGGGAAACAAGAGGGGGATCTGTCCCCGAGCCTTCTCTTCAGATTCATTCCACGGGATAAATCCGGGGGTGGCGCTGAGAAACAGCCAAGCCCCTCGCAGCGATGTGCCTGCACCCTGTCATCACGGCACAGCTGGTGCCTTCTGCAGAAGGGGACGCGCTCCCGGGCACCCTTTGTGCCGCCGGGAAGCAGGGGGAGGGTGCGAGGGGAAGAGAGGCTCAACAGAAAGAAAAATCACTCCAAGCCTACGTCCCCCGACTTGCAGAAGCCATCCGCAATCATATGCGGAATGAGAATACCCAATCTAGCACAATTCAGCTTGCACATGCTACAGGATCTCGCCTCATTATGGCTCTTTTATTTTAAGCACCCTCATGACACTAAAGAATTTGCAATTTTTTTTTTCCCCCTGCTTGCCAAAATTCATAATTACCAACCATTTCAGTTTTCTTATTTAATTTTTGTTTTTAACTCTTCCGCTCCGGGCCGCGAAGCCTCGCCGGGCTTGGGTGGGGGAAGGAGAGCGGCAGCGGGCGAGATCACTCGGGATGCGATAAGCATCATCAAGCATGTAGAAGGCTGCCGTGGAGAGGAAGAAATTAATTCCTCATCCATGCCCACGGCGGGGGTAGGATGCGAGGCAATGGGCTCAGGATGCAGCCGGGGAGATGGGATAACACTGGTGGGGGTGTGTGATGGGGCAGGGTCTCCGCTGCCTGGAGCGGGATCCCAGCTCCGAGCAGGGGCAGCCCTTGCTGCCGGAGCCTTCCCTGTCTCTCCCCCGGTGGCACCATTTTTGAGATCGGCCTCGTTCGACTCCAAGCCCGGAAAAAAAGAAGAGATTAAAATAGCTTCTTGCACAAACAAGTCCCAAAATGCTTCCTGCTCCATGCCCTGCCAACTGTCCCAAAGGGCACCCAGACACAAGTCTCCCGCAGTGACACTTCGCAACTGGGCGAGAGGTGACTGCGCGCAGGCAAGCGTGGGACAAGGCAGTCCCACACAGCAGGCGAGAGGCACGGAGCTCTGTCCTGAAACCCCAGGGCACACCCTAAGGTGCCATCGGGGAGTTGTCACCTCCTCCCCAGCAACCTGCACGTGAGGGCAAGGGAGGGGGCTTCTCCTCTTCTCCTGTGGGGACAGGCTGGGAGAGTTGGGGTGTTCAGCCTGGAGAAGGGAAGGCTCCGGGGAGACCTTAGAGCACCTTCCAGTGCCTGGGGGGGCTACAGCAAAGCTGGGGGGGACTTTTGTCAAGGGCAGGGACTGACAGGACAAGGGGTAACAGGGTTAAATGGAAAGAGGGAGATGGAGATGGGACATCAGGAAGGAATTCTTCCTGCAGAGGGTGGGGGGGCACTGGGACAGGTTGCCCAGAGAAGCTGTGGATGCCCCATCCCTGG